TTAGATATAGGAAAATTAAGTATAACTCTGAATTTTCCATCACAAGCTGTTAAACTTAAGTAAATGCATTTGATAGTCCTCGACAGCTAGAGTTTTGAGCTCACTTCTCATCTCTCTTTAAAGTAGGGTGACTCTCTGTTGTGACCTGGGAATTACTTACCAACTTAAAAGCTAAAACCTATTCATGTTTCTGACATTTTTCCATGCTAGAATATTTTCTAAAAGGATCCATTTTGGTGCCTTTGGCAGAACACAAATTTCTGGGGTTCCGTATACACCACCCATTTCGCTATTCCACACCTAAGAAAAAGTAAAGGGAGGTTTGGAGGGATTTCTTCAATTGCTGGATGGTTCCCAGTGCCAAGGATGAGCTTCTATGGCGTAAGAAATGTCCTTGAAATATGCTGCACTCAGTCAGTCATTTTTAGAGTAACTAATCAATATTATAATGGCATCAGGCAAGCAAAGCAGCCATAACAAGTTTTTATGAGACACTACGTGCTGAAGTTGGTTCGGATATTGGAATAACAATCGTCACTCCTGGTGTAGTCGACTCAGAAATGACCCAAGAAGATTTTTTGTCAAAGGTATTTATGAAGGAACTAAATGGAGAAATAACACGTGAATGCCCCTTTATTTACCTTCTTCTTTTTTTTTTTGTGTGTGTGGGGGGGGGTGTCTAGCAATCCCATCTTTTTTATTTAGGTTGCATTTAATTAATGTTTCAAGGTAGACAAAATAGAGAAAAAGTGTTTTATATGTTGAAAAAACAGATATTTATATATATATCACATAATTTTTCATGATAAAAATACAAATATATATGTTTTGTGATGTAAATTACTTTCAAAACAAAACGGACATATTTTTTTCTCTCCCAGTTGTTCTGTTCATAGCTACTTACCAATATGTTTCATGTTCACTCCCGACTTTTATGGTTGAAAAGTCGAGAGAGATACCAATATTTGATCTTTTAAAAAAATGTTCATTAATCTATGAAACTTGTCCTATCTCCTCAAGTATAAGTAGGACATTTCCTTTGGATACAAGTTTTACCAAAATTGATCAACACAACTTGATTTTCTAACAATTCTCTAAATGGGATTTTCTGCAGGCCCAAATCGACTTTGTCCCAGCGGAGTCGACCGAGAGGTGTGCTAAAGCAATCGTGGACAGCGCTTGCCGAGGAGATAGATGCTTAATAGAGCCGTCTTGGACAAGAATGTTGTTTCTGCTTAAAGTCCTTTGTCCTGAAGTGCTGGAGTGGTCGTTCCACATGGTATTGGCTGCTAAGAGTTCAAAGAAAAGTAACTAGCATGAGCTTCTGTATCTCAATTAACAGGCATCGAGATGGATTTTGAATACTAAAGATGGATTTTGCATAGACATCCAACTTGCATTTTTCTAACTCATCAACCATCTTCATCTCATAATATTACAAATAAATCAAAACATCATTGATGTTTTTCATAGGTCTGCTCAACTTTGCACATCAGGATTGGATCTTTCTGTGCTTAACTCAGCATGGACAACACAACATCTTTTGAGAAAATAAAAAACGATTGTTCGCGGTCCTCCTAAAGCGGCAGCAGCATCTCGGAGGACTAAATTAGCTGGAAGTATTATTGAAAGAACTTGGGAGAAATGGTGTCAATGAAAGATTTAGCATCTCCTTCAATGAAAGTTCCCTCTTCGTGTAAACTTAAGGTGATGTGGACCGGCCCAAAAACACCAGTAAGGCCATATGAACTGCAGTTCTCAAAGCAAGAGATCCTGAAACAGCAGGGTCATTTGCGTGAGCTAAAAAGGTACCTTCAACACCAAGCCTAAAGCACCCTGATTTGCAGCCTAATTAAATGCGCCATCAAAATTGATTTTGACTGAATCGAGAGGTGGTGCTAGCCAGGAAGATCGAGTAGTAGGAAAATAGATACTAATTAGTAACCAGGAGGTAATGATAAAAGGCTAATTATTGGAGAGTGCATATGAAAAGAAAGAATAAGCAGCGCAGGCATTTCGAAACATGAGCAAAAGTGGGCAATTCTCGGGAAAGTAGGCTCTAATCTTTTCATTATTTTGATTAGTGAAACATGCTTAGATTATTCATCACCTGAATTTATTAAATCGTATATAATTTAATATAAGGAAAATTGAAACTGATTGCATTGAATTTAAATCAACTAAAAAATGGTATAAATAGGAAATTAACCTAAAGCTAAAATATTTTTTTCCCTTTTGATTTTTGTTTCAGCCGCACCTCCCCTGCCCCCGATCTCGTTCTCTCCTGTGATTCATGGCTAACCAAATTATTTCATGTAATTCCTCTCTCTTGACAATTTTCATGACTCGTTTCTCTCCTCTCTCTTCTCCTCTGTTGTCTTCGTTCTCTTGCAAAGTTGGATATTGTGGGTATTTATATTCATAGTTTAACTTTTATAGAGTTTACTAGTAAGAAACGTTTATTGGAATTTTTTTTTAAGAATAGGATATTTCTTTTTGCTGCATCATTTGGCTTCTAGTAGAGGAGCCTCCTAAGCTCTCATAGCCATGAGAGAGAGAAGCCTTACTGAAGTTGCAGAAACAACCCGGTACGGCGGCTCTCCTGATGTCATCGTGCATCCTTGTAGATGCTCAGACGGTGGATGGTTGAAATAAAATGGTGTGTGGTATGTACCATGTAGTGGTGGAACCATCATATTAATTTTTGTTTTTTGGTATTCAAATTAAATGATTCGGGTACTGTAGCAGTAGAATTGAGAAAAATAGAAAAGAAAAGAAGAAAACCTAGAAAGAAAAAGAAAAGAAAAGGTAGTAAAGCAGTCTGTGTTCTTCCTTGGATTTCTAACTCGTTCACCGTTGGATCGGAATGAGATTTTGACAGTAGTTTCTAAACACATTACTCTTCATTTTGGACGGTTGGATCAAAGATTAATAGTATAGAAGCTCGCCGTTTTAACAGAAAACAGGGCTATCAGTATTGTGAGTTTTTCTCAAATAATTCTCCTTTAATCTTATTGTAATCCGAGAATAAAAAGTTCTTGATGATATATATGTTGTATCCCTTAGTTGAATCTGAAAAAGAATGATTGTGAACCCATTATTTGTTGACAGTGAAAGTTTTTAGGTGAATTACGGTCCCATGGTTTTTCCCGTATCGGGTTTTCCACGTTAAAAATCTTGGTGTTGATTTTGTAATTATTTGCATTATATTTGGTCATTGTTTGATTTTGTTTTATTGCATAAAGAGAAAAAGAATTGAGACTTGTGAATTGTATTCCACTGAATTAATCCGGGTAAATTGGTGTCCGGTTGTTCCTAGTTTTCCCAACAGAGTAATCATCTAATTTTCACGAGCATGCTTCGAGTTTCCATAATGAGAACAACCACTTCCTCCAACCTCTGTTTGACCCTTTGGTTTTGTTGAAGGATTTGGTTTTCTACTACATGGTGCTGAAGACCATGGTTTTATGGCTTTGGAAGTCATATGCAGCTTTGGACTGGTTTTAACTCCTCTAGACGCCATAGCTGCAACAGTAAGGTTACCACTGTTTGCAAGCATGGCCGATTGTCTGATATCTAAAAATTATTTGGGAAAGCTACAGAAACGGAGCCTATTTTGGCAAATCAATAAAGATTCCATAACAAATGGAATATATACAGTTATGATGTAAATCAAACTTCTAAAATCCTTCGTTAACGAGTTTTCTCAAGGACAAATGAAGATTGGGACTCATGATTGATAAAGTGCAACGGACGTTAAAATCAGTTTACTATTTGTTCGCGGGGAAAAATAGACTCTAATTTGCTTAAACAATATCTTAGTTGAAGAAATAAAGATGGATGCAATGAGGAATTGAAACCACAAGTATTTTAGCCAACAATAAAATATATTATCATGAAGAAAAAAAAATATTATAGTTTATAAACTTTACTTCGCCATGAAAGAAGATTTAAAAAAGTATTTGCCAACAAAAGCAAGATATTCTCTGCACAGCAAAATTTGTCTCAGAAGATCTGGTTTCAGTAATTCATAGATTATTGAATTAAAATCAATTTAAAAATATATTGCAAGTTATATACAATTGTAGGATTAATTTGAAAACCATATCCTTTGCAAAGAAAATATAAATGAAGACACCATCTAATTAGAGTCGTTTATGAAGCTCAGAAAAATTACTTGGTGGCTTATATTTAGAATCCTTGTTGGATTATAAGAGCCTTGTATGCAAAATTTAAAAATGTTGAATATAAAAGAATAAAAACTTGAGTTTTCAACATTCCCAGAAGGTTGGGATGAACATTAAATCCCTAAGCCTTTTATAATATTATTTAGGAGATTTATTTATTTTTTATATTTTTATATTGTTTTAATATATTGATAGTTAAAAAAATTTAAAAAAATTAATATATTTTTAAATAAAATATAATTATTATCGTAATACCAAACAAATTCATATTTATATATGGCAATCAGGACAGGATAAGAAAAAAAAACAATTGATTTTATTTTTATAGCTTTTCCTATATATGGAGGAGCGCTTATATATATATATATATAGGCATCAGCTACATCTTTGACAAATATCAGCGATGTTAGGAAATTATAATATTGATATTGTTTGAATTCAAATTTTGGGATCTGCATTAAATTCCTCTTGCCTTTTTTAAAATCATTTGGGGATATATGCTTATTATTTTGAAGGGAAATGTTGTTATTATATATTAATACAGAGCAACCACGGCCAGGACGAGAGAAAAAAACATTGATTTTATTTCTTATCGCTTTTCCCAAGTACAGTGGAACTGATAGAAGAGCGGTTTTCTGCTTAAAGTAGTGAGGAAGAGTTTTATCGGTAATCACGTTCAACTACAGAGCAGAACCTTTCAAGCCAAGATTTTAAAACTGGCAACAAATATTTTCGAGAACCTGAGCTCAGCTACACAAGAAACAGTAATTACTGTGTTTTGGTCTTTTCTCTCCGACATTACTGAAGCACAGCATGGATTTGATTCACAAGGTCCTGAACATTGTACTTCCTCCTATAGCATTGATTCTGCTACTTCTCTTCTTGCCGTATTTTCTTGTTTCCAAGTTTATAAGTCGCATAAAAAGATCAATAAATAGCGAAAAGGTGGCAGGAAAAGTAGTTCTAATCACCGGTGCATCTTCAGGCATTGGCGAGGTTGGTATACGATCTCTGCACAGAAGTAAATGTCTATCATACTTTGCAGACTACAGATTTGGAATATTGTTACCGTTATTACTGGGATACTACTTGTTTAATGCTCTAACTGTATTTTGTGGTTTTTGTAAGTATCTTGCATACGAGTATGCTAGGAGAGGAGCCTGTTTAGCCCTCTCTGCTAGAAGAGAGGGGCGTCTTCGAGCAGTAGCTGATAAGGCCCGGGAGCTGGGGTCACCGGATGTTATAGTCATCGCCACTGACATTTCGAAGGTTGAAGACTGTGAGCGGTTTGTTAATGAGGCAATGAATCATTTTGGCAAGTGTAAGGATCTTTTATCTTCTTTCAGATTGAGTTTACGTGCAAGGTTTTTTCATAGAAGTTGTTGTTTTACTATGACTCACGCGGTTTATGCAATAGTGGATCATCTGGTGAACAATGCTGGTGTTGCTCAAATTGACATGTTTGAGGATTGCAAGGAAATATCAGATTTTGCAACAATTATGGTATGTGTTTTTACCGCAGCCGTTGACATTTATTGGTTCCAAACATGCGCCGTTACACAACTGCAACTAAAATATAAGGTCATTTAGAAATAGGAAAATTAATTATACCTCTAAAATTTTGAAGTAGGGTGACTCTTTGTTGTAATCTGGGAATTACTTCCTTACCAACTTAAAGGTTCAAAGCTATTCATGTTTCGACATTTTTCCATGCGAGGATATTTTCTGAAAGGATCCATTTTGGTGCCTTATGCAGAACACAAATTTCTGGGGTTCCGTATACGCCTCCCATTTCGCTATTCCACACCTAAGAAAAAGTAAAGGGAGGATTGTAGGGATTTCTTCAATTGCTGGATGGTGCTCAGTGCCAAGGATGAGCTTCTATTGCGTAAGAAATGTCCTTGAAATATGCTGCACTCAGTCAGTCATTTTTAGAGTAACTAATCAATATCATAATGGCATCAGGCAAGCAAAGCAGCCATAACAAGTTTTTATGAGACACTACGTGCTGAATGTGGTTCGGATATTAGAATAACAATCGTCACTCCTGGTGTAGTCGAGTCAGAAATGACCCGAGGCGATTTTTTATCAAAGGTATTTCTGAAGGAACTAAATGGACAAATAACATATGAATGCTCCTCTGCTTACTTCTGAATCCTTGCATGATGTTTTCTTTTTCTTTTTCTTTTCTGGTAATGGAATTTCACCATTAGCAAAAATTATGTGATATATATATATATATATATATGATAGTTAGCTATCCCATGTTTATTATTTAGGTTGTACTTGATTGGTTCTTCAAGAAAGAAATGACAGATATAAAAAAGTGTGGCTATGAACTAAAGAAAAAGATATAAAATAAATACGTATCCAAAGCTACAAATATATTATCTTTAAAACAAACGTTCATTAATCAATAAATATTGTCTTATCGCCTTAAATATAAGTTGGATCTTTCCTCTAGATACAAGTTTTACCCACATTCGTCCGCATAATTTGATTTTCCAACAATTTTTATAACAGGGTCAAATGGACTTTGTTCTGGCCGAGTCGACCGAAAGGTGTGCTAAGGCAATCGTGGACAGTGCTTGTCGAGGAGACAGGTACTTGGTAGAGCCGTCTTGGGCAAGGATTACGTTTCTGATGAAAGTCCTTTGCCCTGAAGTGCTGGAGTGGTGGTTCCACAGGATATTGGTTGCTGAGAGTTCAAAGAAGAGTAACTAGCATGAGAATTCTAACTATTACAGCTTAATCAGGCTTTAAATTTATTTTGTAAAAGTTATCTGTTGGAATTTTATAAATTTTAGAATAATTGAAATTGAAGATTTATATAATTATTAACTTTAAAACTCATAAAATTAATTGAAATACGAGTAAGTATCATGAGCTTTGTATCTCACTTGACAGGCGTCAAATATGCCTTGCGCATTTCAGCTTTAATTCCAGATCTCAAGCAGTGACTCTGTTTCATTTTTTTATTCCTCTGAAAATTCTGAATGTTTGCTCCTCTAGTACATAAAGCCATTTGTAGCTCATTCTACAAGTAGAATATGGTTGGTATGTTCTGCCTAGCTAATTCTAGCGTTTTCTTAGGAAAGATTTGGCCACACAACGAGAAAGATTTAGACATGTTACACGACTTAAAGAGAGACCAAGAAGAATAAGGCAGCGTTTAAGAGGTTGATATGTATTTTGTAGATACAACTATAAAGAAAAAATATAGTTTATTGTTCATGGCTCTACAGTATTTTTCTATCTGAAACGTAGAGAAAAACAAGTAAATTTTTTTCATGTGCACTGTTTACAGGTTCGATGCAGTAAAAAAAAATTAAAAATTAAAATATTTTTTATTTTTTAATTATATTTTATTCCAAAAACTAGTATTTAATATTATTCAATGATACTATATAAATTAGATAAAGATTGCTTCATGACGTAACATTTACAAAATTTGATTGCAATTCTAATTTTATTCCTGATTATATTTTACCTAATATTATTGTATGTTTAAAAAACTAAAAAAATTATAGTTCTTATCAGATGTATTTTATACATAATGAAATTGTAGATAGTTTAATAAAACAATGAAAAATATTTTATATAAATTATTCCTGATTATATTTTACCTAATATTATTGTATGTTTAAAAAACTAAAAAAATTATAGTTCTTATCAGATGTATTTTATACATAATGAAATTGTAGATAGTTTAATAAAACAATGAAAAATATTTTATATAAATTATTCCTGATTATATTTTACCTAATATTATTGTATGTTTAAAAAACTAAAAAAATTATAGTTCTTATCAGATGTATTTTATACATAATGAAATTGTAGATAGTTTAATAAAACAATGAAAAATATTTTATATAAAATTTTATTTATTTCATGATGTAATAATAATAGTTAAATATATAATATTTAAAGTAAAAATTATCAATATTAATATATATTTTTTAAAATTATTTTATAACCTCAATTTCAAAAGTATTATTAACCAAACATATTAAATTATTTTTTGTTCAACTTTAATTTTAACTATAATTTTTATTAAATATTAATAAATATCAAATCAATTTTAATTAAAAATAATTTTTTTTAAATAATAATCATAATAGTTATTAGAGTACCGAACACACAAATAAAAGGAGTGACTAAATGGCAAGAGTGAAGAATTTAAGTGCGAGGGTGTGTTTGTGTGCCGTGAGTGAGTGAGGGAGTGAGAGTCTAGGTGATATGAGAAATATTATTAAAAGGAGAGTGTTTAATGTGTGAGTGACATGTAAATTAGTAGTTGTTCTAATATCCACATATTTATATAAATTTCTTATTTATTAAATAAAAGTTAGTTTGTTCATCGAACATTAATTTTTAGCTTATTATTATGTAAAAGTAATTTTTAATGAAAATATATTAAAATGATTTTTTTAATTTTTACTTTTAGTAAATTTAAAAAAACACCTAAAAATATCAATTTAATTTTTTTAAACAAAAAATATTTTAAAAAACAAGTTTAATCACAGAAACAAGTCCAACAAGTAATATCAAAGTTATTTCTTAAGAGGGATAGTAATTTGTCTCGTTTTAGTTGTTATTGTTGGTAGTAGAGATAGTAGTTAGAAATATAACAATATTAATATAATTTTATTCTATTCCGGTTAACCGGTATATTTTATATCATTTAAAAAAACAGAATATAATAGAATAAATTTTATCTCGCATAGGTTATTTCTGATTTTTCACTCAAATTTCAGCAGAGGTATTCCAGGTTTTCTACTTTGTTTGTTCTTTGTCGACTAAAAAGAAACTAGCATATGAATAAAGCTTGTGACAGGATCAAATGGTGTGTTGTTTAAAGACTCCATTTCCATGAAACATGCTACCCTCTTGCTTGGACTTGGTAAGGACATTCCAACTCTTTCGAAACATCTTCCGATCCTTCAGTGATGTGTCCCACTAAAACCTGCTATAATAAGGCTGTCAATCTTTGAGGAGAAACTCGAAGGGAGTTCGAAACACGACAACAATATTTTTTTGCTTTATAAGTAAACCTCCCTTCTCTCTTGCGATGATAAGTCCTGCTTCCAATGCTGTAGCTTGTCGTGCAGTCAAAAAGAAAACCAAAAGCTTGAGTTCTGGACCTCTCCCGTATAGTCGGAAATGTTAATCAAATTACAGCTCCTGCATATCAGCACTTTCATGACCACTCCATGATCAAAGCTCCTCCAAATCAACCCTACATCAAGTCCATATAATCTGCTACTACATGGAAGTCTCTAGCATAGCATTTGAGTATGCCAGGAGAGGAGCTTGTTTAGCCCTTGTTGCAAGAAGAAAGGAACGTCTGATACGAGTCGCTGCCATGGCTGAGCTGATTGGATCTCCTGAAGCTATTTTTATCCCTGGAGATGTTACCAAGGTCGAAGATTGTGAGATATTTATAGATGCAATAGCGAAGCACTTCGGTCACTGCAAGTAGAGCGTCCAAGAAGGTCTGAGCTAGCAGTGTCAATCGAATTCCAATTTGCTTTGGGAACTCAAATGCATTAAAATGATAAACTCTTGATGGGTTTTCTTTGCTAACAGTGGATCATCTGGTGGCCAACGCTGGGGTTGCAACAGTGGGCGTGTTTGAAGATGCCCATGATGTCACTACTTTTGCACCAGCTATGGCATTCAAATCCTTAAAACGACCCTCCCATTTTCAGATAAACAAGGAACAGGATCCCATCAAAACTCGTGTCTCCATGCATTTTCTGTGCTAATTTTTCATTTCGTACAGGACATGAACTTCTGGGGCTCAGTGTATTGCACCTACTTTGCAATTCCGCACTTAAAAAGGAGCAATGGAAGGATCGTAGTAATTGCTTCAGAAGCCGCATTTCTACCTATCCCAAGACTAGGCTTCTATAATGTAAGATTTTCCATCTACATCTTTCAAATCTGTCTGTTACTTCAATTAATATCCATTCTGTTTTCACAATATTTATAGGCAAGTAAAGCAGTATATAGCATGTATGAGACACTGAGGGTAGATATCTGAATAACAATTGTTATTCCTGGATTGATCAAGCGGAAATGAGAAGGGTAAATTTCCATACCCATGATACAATTATGTAGTTAATAGTCGTCTTCAATTTTATGCTTCCACTTATAACAGGATTGAATTGCTTGTTAGGCAATGATAAATCCGATGCCAGCGGAGTCTACCACAGAGTGTGCCAAAGCAATTGTAGATGTTGCATGCCGAGGAGAGAAATACCTGGTTGAACCAGCTTGGAACCGTTCCATAATTTATTTCAGGTACTTTTTCCCTGATATAGTAGAGTGGAGCAACTGTTTATTTTTAATCTTGACAAGATCAATCTACAACAGATAGGAGTTGAGAGAAGTACTGAGAAGATCCTCTACCTAGTAACTAAAGAAGGTCGGTCATGCTATAACATTTTAACCTTATACCCTGAAACTGTAACGGAAGCTTCTTTCATCATGTCTGGTTGTATCATAGAAGTTTCCTTAACTAGTCTGTATTGCATAATGCCGGTCTAGAAATTAGGTATCTGTCTCAAGAAATAAGTGATAAATTTATGGGGATATCATGAATGATTTATTTTGAGGCAACAGTTGAAGTTTACAGGAAATCTATGATAATTTTACAGAAATTTATATCCATTTACAAACATGACATATTACAGAGAATGTGAGGAATTATGCTAAGAAAACCCAAAAAGAAATCCAAGAGCCTTAGAAAATGAGAGCAAAAGGAAAGTTAATGGAGTTGTGTGAGTGTACCTCGACTAAAAGTTAATGAAGCAAACAGTGGCTTCTCCTTGTCTCGTTAATAGTCGGATAATCCTCTCCCCTCCCTTATATATGAGTGGCTTTGCATTTTTACAAAGATGAGATTTCATGTACATCTCTTCTGAGCACAATTGGAAAATCTCCAGTTCATAGTTTCACCCATTCATAAACAAGTGACTTAATGTGATGACCATCTTTGTGAAGATCAGCAACAACACACAAGTCTCATGAAAACCACATGACGCCATATCATGCCTGGTAAAGTGTCAGCAACATTCACCTTCTCAGCCATATATACATGTGGCAAATAATCTCAATCAATGATATCAGGCGTGACCACGACTTTCCTGGTCACTGCAAAAAATTTCAGGCTATCTTATAGATGCTTGGTGAGTGAGCGCAAATATGATCTAGGAATCTGCATAACCATGCTGAGAGAAGGTTCCTCCTTTAACCAGAAAAGGCAGCAAAAAAATCCGATCATAATCAATTTTCATTTCCCTTTAAGCATCATCGAATTTGAAGCCATTATGGTGATATATCAATAGGTACCACGGAGGAATGCCGCGGTGTTAGGGAAGAAGAAAAGGACTTCAGTCTTCTTATAAGCAACCATGCATCAGAAGGAGGACAGCCTTGGTTCATCTCAAGAGCAACAGGAAGTTTAGAGGCTCCATTTATCTCTATAAGCATTGTTCCCTGGACCAAAGTATTTCCAGATTGAGTGAAACTAAAATAAACCATGCTTAAAAATTCAACAACACGACATTCAAAGAACATTGAAATCTTCCTATGAAAAGAACTTGAATGATTCTTCAATGAAGCTCAACTTCATAAATAATTAAAGGCTTAACATATAATACCTCAAAATTCACTAAGAACATCTGAAACTGTCTCAGGGTCTCCTTCATTTCACCAACTCTCTTTTTATCTGATGAAGAAAGAGCGGCGGGGGGCTCCACAGGAGAACAACCTATTCCTTTCAGCACTACCTGAAAGTACAAAATAACTGGTAAAACTATAAAAAAAAATTAACCTCGTATCATCAAAAGGTAAAACTCCAACTTGGAACTCACATTGTGATCAATTAGGATCTCAGAAATGAGGCTGCCATCATCAACATAAACCTGAAGCTCATATGTCGTCCTCTGCTTATACTGGAATCCCTTTACACCAGTCAAGAAGCACTGCAAAATTTTATGTTAACATATTAGAAAGCACTGAAACAGTAGAAAGTACGGATACTACATGGGTTTGATATGTACTTTCAATTATATGCTCAAATAACATCAAAAAGAAAACTCATATACTGTTTTCATGGGAATTTATTCAGATATCTAAGACTGCACCACCATAAAAAAGTTTCTTCGGTTAATGGAAATAGAATAATTCACATTTCCGTGCAACATAATAAAGTTGTTGAAACTATCATGGTCACTATTTAAATATAGTCCCACCAAAATGAGATCCAGAGTGTCACACTTTGGTATTCATGTGAAATAGTTCTTAAAACTCGTATCATCATGGTTGCAAACTGCACGTATTTACCATTACAGCAAGAGAAGACCCCCAAAAGTCCGGAATCATTGTCCTTTTTCACGGGCATAGAAAAAATTATACAAGAATTTATACATAATCCAAACCTTAGGTTGGAACTGAGAGCCTACTGGGAGTTGCTCTTTGGATACCTTCTAAACTACAAAGCTACTTATATTTATTTTTATTTTGAAGAGCAAAGCTATTCATTTGTATAATAGTTATTCAATCATTAACAAAGCTCAGCTGGTTGGTTTTCTTGATAAATGTTTCTTAAAAATTAAGTAGCAGCAATAGAAGTTAGTATTATTTTGAAAATAATAATAAGAAACTAAAAAAAAAAACTCATTCTCTCTGTTTGTCTTTTTAAAACAATATTTTGTTTTCCACAATATCTAAGCTATACATACTATTCGTTGCACCCAACCCAGAATGCTGAAGTTAAGACTTCTGCTACTTGCACAAGATTCAGTTGAGCAATAAATAAAGCCGGTCAAAATCCAAATCACAATCTGTTTTAGGAGAGCACATAATGCCAATGTGCAAAGATAAGCACCAGATGAGTAACACACTTGCACACATGCTAAAAAAGAGAGATACTACACACCTTGATCTTTCCTCGAACAGAAGGTTCTTTCTCCTTCATTGCAGCCCATTTAGCTGATAAACTAGCCAAGTATGTGAATGGGATTTCTCGGTCTCTAGATAATATGAGGGGGTGTTCAAATTCATCAATCATATGGACATCCTCTTGCTCCAAAGTACCATTAGAGTGTTGGTTAGACACAGAATTCACCCCACTTACAGAAGGAGCATTGATATGCATCTCCCCAACATCAGAAACAATACTAGATGATAGATTAAACGTAGTAGTTTCTGCACTCATTGGAACAGCACATTCTTCCACAGTCCTTTGACTAGTATCAGTGCCAGATACAACCAAATTGGCACCTAGAAAACATGAAAAAAAAAAAAAACATTCTTATTATTAGACGAACATTATGTAAACTCCAGCATACAATAAAAAGCTATTAACAGGCTTGTAATCCTCCACAATGTGAACCTTTTGGTAATTATATCCTCAAGCATGAAAGTAATAGTTAATTCACGAGTTTATTTATTCCCTATTCTACATTTGAAGACAGTAAAACAAAAACACAAGATTACTTCATGTACGGTGTGATTTACTCTTGACATTCTCCCAAAAGTTTGCTATATCATCATTTACATGTTAAAGTAACTCAAAACCGCAAGAAGAAGAAAGAAAGCAGGCCAACCTCGTCCATCTTCCTGAAGGGGAGTTGCAACTTGTAATGTGGATCTATCAGGATGTTGAACAACTTTGACAGAACTATCGGTGCGTCCCAGGGCATTACCAGAAACATTGGTGTTCTGAAGATCATCCGCTGAGGTATTTGTATGCCCAGGAACATTACCTGAGTTATTGGTGCTACTGGGAATATTGACTCCATTAGGGACCCATGCAGCCTGAGTTGCTCTAGTTGCTAAAGGAGGAACCTCTCCAGTCCTTGATCTGCATAACAACAGTGCAAATCAGTTGCATTTAAAGGAGACAAATAGTTGGATCTCAACTGATCCCTTGAGGATCTGAACTCAATTCACCTAACAGGCCAATTAAAAAGAATTGAAACTAAAATAATCAGCAAGATCAAAAGCCTACACTTGAAAACAACCATTCTAAAACCCAAAAAAAGTATATCGGTGTAACTCAATCATCAATTCTATTAATGATTATCTCTGGAAAACTTTTTACTATAACCTCCAAATTTTCACCTCCAGGAATGCTATGAAATCAAGAATTAGTCCTAGTCCAATTTTCTGCACATGCCTCTGCTTAAAGAGTCTTTCATATGCAAAGCCTTGCAGTGGGTAATCCAATATCTCACCATAAACCACTCTCAAAAGGTACAGCTAATTATGCAAATAGATCATGGTCAGGCAAAGACATGCAGAGAACATCACTATACAATAACATTTAAAAGCAGATTTTCCTTTTTCAGGGACAGAAATAAAAAAACTGAAAAGCAAAGTAATAAGAAAGGCACAGTGCTGTAAATCTTCAGAAAGCTCAATACATCCTAGACACCTAAATCATACCTTCTTCCCCTTGGTGGTTTATTTATCTCATCAGCAAGACATTGACGTGCTGCATCCAACTCTTCAACCACTCCTCCTAGAATTTCTAAAGTTTCAGGAACCAGCATTAAAAGCCCACGCCGTATATGTACATTACAGATGGCAACCTACAATACAAAAGAATTATGTTTCGAACTTTTCTGACGAAACTAGCACTGATGCATAAACATGAGAATAACATTTGCACACCAAAATTAATGTATCAGCTTATTTTCTCCTTAGCTATCCATTCAAACATAAACACCTTATATCCAGGTCAACAACTATAGTCATGCCACACTCAAAAAACTTTAACAGAATCCGTCAGTATTTTTGCCATATTTCTAAACCATCCTCACAATTACCAATGCAGATTACAAAAAACACATCCCAGACCTTCCATATTATCATCACTGTTTATAAAAAAAGACATTGACAAAAAGATACTCCAATTCAATAAACCATAAATCATCAGGAAAAAAATAATAATAATAAAACCTTGAATCCTGGAGGAGCTAAAACTTTAAGATCCTTAATAGGCCTATATTCCATGCCAAAAACACGTTGGACACCATCCGTCATAGACAGCTTAAGGCACCTCTTCACTCCCGCATTCGCATCCTGATACCTTCCTTTAAGTGGGCAACTAATGTTAACAATCTCATCCACCTAAAAAAATTAAAATTCATCGTAAATAAAAAATCACGTATTATATATTTATCTTATTTAATTTAACAGAATTTGTAATCGAATAGAAATAGGCCACCTGCAACACAAACGGTCCGGGGAGATCAGCAAGGTGCATAGAGTCCACATTTGGAGGAAGCACACCAGCACCGCAGAGATTCATATCTGAAATCAAAAATTGACCAAAGCAAAGCTTTGCCTTTGACGCTATGTCAAGCGAGTTGTCAATTTGGCGAAGACAGGAATCAAGCCACTCTCTTTTTAAACTAAGTCCCGTTCTCAGTAGAAAATCCCCAGTAGCACAACCATATATGGGTGGAGCCATCGACGGAGGAGACGGTGGGGTGAGGTTATCGGAGGCGTCGGCGAAATCAGCATCGTCGGAGGAGATTGGAAGTGGCACTGGTTGTTCAGGGAGGTTAGGGTTTGGTAATTGGTGAGGTTCCATTTGATAATCTTGTTGTTGGTTTTGCTGTTCTTCGCCGTCTTCATCGTCGGAGTAAGAGCTGAGTCTGAGGCGTCGTCTTGTCATTTTGATTGAGAGAGAGAGCGAACCAGTGAGGGTTTTTTTCTTGTTTTTTTGGCCGTTTGGGGTTTCCCTCCAGATTTGTGATATAATTTGTTTTATTTTATTTTTATTTTTATTCTTTTTTTGTCAAGGAGGGAAAGTGGAGGAGGGGTGGGATAAAATTGCAATTTTCCAATAAATTTAAGGTCCTTGACAGACAGGAAAATGTACTATGGGCCTCACACAAATCTAATTAACAGGTGGATAATGGGCCTGGCTAGTATCTAACTAATTCATGGACTCAGGTAGCGTCCAGAAACGCGATACAAACCACCATTTGTTAAAAAAATTGTTTAAAATTATTTCTTTATATTTTTTATTAGTTTACTAATATTAAAAATAAATTTTAAAAAAGTAAAAAATATATAATTTTAATATATTTTCAAATAAAAAATATTTTAAAAAATAACTTTCATACCCAAAAAATCACATAACTTGTTTATTAAAGTCTCGGTATGGACGAACCAAACAGAACCTCACAAGGAATGGAAAAAGGTCAAAAGACCATCTAAGCTAGGATGTGATTCAAGCTGAAATGTACAAGAAAACTTCTATAATTAATGTTTAGCTTCTTGTTATTCCATACAAGATTAATACTTGTTTGTCTAGGAACGGGAAATGCGGGTTACATGCTAGATTGAAGGATGCTTGATAGTGAGATAAATATTATTTTTTAAATTTGTTATTTTTTAAGAAATGTATTAAAATAAAAGAAAAATTGAAGCAAGTCACCAAGCACAATATAAAATACTTCAACTTTGTAAAACATGACTTAAAAAAATTAGTTATTTATCAATTTAATATTTAATGATAGAATCAGAAAAAAATTAATTTAAAAAATTCAACATGATAAATTTAACAAAGAACAATAAATAAAAAAAATTAAATTAAACTAGTTTATTTTAAAAATTAGTGAGAAATTCTATAAAAAATAATAAATAAAAATAACATAACCTAGTTTTCAATTGAATAACCGTTAAAAAGATGAAATTGATGTATTATGAAATTATAATGATCACCAAAGAGTTTTAAAATACTACAAAAATCCCCAAACATATCCAAAACGCCTTTAATTTTAAGAAAATTGTTCAAAAATATTCAGGTTATCTCTTAAAACAAGAGAAGGCGTAGGGGTTTTTATAACACCTTCAAACTTCAGGAGTCATTTTAATTTTATGATAATTTAGAAGGTTTTTATATAATTTGTTTCTGGTTCTTATATAATTTAGAATTTTTTATATATATAATTTTATCAAAATACTACTATATATGATTTAGATAATTTTTTGAGGGCAAAATTCCCAACAAAACAATCCATAAAATCAAGGTTATATTTAAAAAAATATCAAAGTATCCAGGACTAAGATTAATTTTTTTTTCAAACTCTGGAGGCGCTTCATGTTATTGATTTCTCTTCTTCCTGTTTTTACTGTTTTTATTATTATTATTATTATTATTCCGGGGGAACGATCACTGCCGTACCTACCATTCTCTATTCAATTTGATTTCAACTAATGGCTGGGAAACAGTCAACGTGGCAAGAATATGCACTAGCAGTTGCATGGTCTAATATGGACAAACCATCATTTTCAATCAAGAGAGGCCTCTGCAATTCTTTTTAGTTTTGTAACTGATCAATAGTTGACTGAAAGGAAGCTTTTATCACCATGTCTCTTTCTAATTTCATCTAACTTATCTGTCAATCTTATATATATATTGGTAGCATGTGAATCCACCTTTTGAGAATATTTAGAGTGTGACTCAACTTTAGTTTGTCCAAAAGTAGAAAATCCCAATTAATTCTCCAGTTCTCACCTCCGTTTTAAAAATGCCGACATACTGGGTAAAAATATCAACCAGTGATCAGGTGGTCGGATCGAGTTTTAAAATGGTGTTTCTAAGCGGAGTGGCATGAAATCTGCGGCAACTTCTCACCTCCAGAAACGCGAATTCTGATATGCTGCAGTGCATGAAGGTGTGTGCTGCTCATCTATGAAGTATGAAACTTCAACAAACGCACCTCCATTTTTGGCTGCAACATTAATGTTTGACACGCTGTGAGAGCTGAATACACCAACTACCAATATAGGAAATCTCGAACCATCCTTTTTGGTCCACGTCACTTGTCTGGCTGGTATTCATGGAGTATGTTTTGATAGTTAGACTTCGGTGGTTTGTGGTGGAAGGTGACGGTTGGGTGTTTGGGTTATACAATGATAATGTTAGGTTTTTAAAGGTTTTTTTTTTATTTTTTTAAATTTATTTTTCATACCAACACATTAAAACAACCTAAAATACTAAAAAAAATTAAAAAACCAAGATTAAAAAAAATTACTTTAGTTGCAGGTTAAATATGATTTTTATTGCATGTCTTGCATGCATTATGACAATCTTTCTCGTAATTGAAATAGGTGGGTGGTGACTAGTTCTTATCTTGTACCATTTTTACGAAACCTGTTTTTCATGCTCGCTAGCTGGACGTGAAATTAAAGAGCTCGATATCATCAAGAAGGCCACAGCGTGACTTTACTTTCGTAGAAATTAAGAATTGATGTACAGTAATTAAGCAAACAATACCATTAAGTTTTGCCTTGGCCCATCGCCAACTTCCCCGACATGCTAGAGTGAGCTGTGATCACCTAACTCCAGTTGGGTTTCGCAGAAAGACAGGAGAAGTTAAGCCGGTGTCGCAGTCAAAAACTAAAATGATCACCAGATTACAACCTTTTTATTTATTTATTTTTTCAGAACAGAGCTCTGAATCTTCTTAAAAAAACTAGGTTCATCTCATTTAAGTTAATTAATCTGTAGCCCGATTACTGTTTGGATTATCCTATATCAGATTTATAACAAAGATTTTTCCTGAAGATTTTCATTTTGCTTCAAAAAATCTCAGTCCAGATATTCTTAGGCATCGGTGCCTTGAAGTTTGTTGCCATATAACTTCACTCGGCAGGAGCAGATAAAGTGATAAGGATTGGCATTTGGCAACCCGATGAAATGAATGCCAAATCTACAACAATGTCAATGCACAGTTGGAACGTAGCTCTGATTTTGCAAATGGTTAATTAGAAGGATTTATTGTTCAAACGACTTCAATCGCGGAGGCTATGTGTTTGATTATTAGCCTCGGGCTATATTATGTCATGCTTGGAGTTTAATGGTGGATTTTCGGCGCCGGTCTACACAGCAGAAAGCAGGACATTACAATAACAATTACACACAAAAGAAAAGGGCAAAGGTGTTTTCTATTTGGTCATCGAATCTTTTTTCTCTTCGAATTGATCATTTAATTGCCAAATGCGTTCTCCATTGTTCCTGATTTGTTAAAAACTAGCCGTAGAGAATTAAAGTAAAACACGTGAGGTGAATGGATGGTAATTTCAGAATTGTAGTGAAATGTTACATTGATACACAACTTTATATTTTTTATTTTTCAATCCTTGATTTGAAAGGAAAAAAAAATGCAAGGTTGTTGTATTATGGTGTTAGAGAGAGAAAACATTAATTGGCATTGATTTTAATCACAAAAAAAATTAATTTTAGTGTCAACAAGTTCTATTTAATTAAAAAAGTTTCACTTGGATATTTTTATCCTTTTCCTTATCTCTGATGGTAAATTTAACCATATAAAGGTGTTTTTTAAATTTTGAATTAATTTTGGAATTTTGAACCATTTTTGGGGTTATTTAATGTTATAGAAGGGTATATCAAGATGTCTAGAATGCTTTCTAAATATTTTAAGTAAAATAACAGGTTGAAAATTAAATTTTTGAACAAAAAACTATGACATAGTCTGTAATGTTTTGAATAAATAAGTAGGAAAATACAATAAAGCCCTTGGTGGCTTAAAGTGTAGGTATAAATGAATGATCTGAAATAGAAAGTAAAAAAAATAAAAATAAAATAAATGATCTGAAATTAGAGAGAATCGGCAGGAGAAAGAAGGGAGAAAGAAGAAGAAGAGAAAAGAGAGAAATTAGAAGAAAAATAGAAAGGAGTTGAAGGAAATAAGTTTAAAGGTAAGATTATATATAAATATGTGTTGATTAAGTTTTAATTTTGGTTTTGATAAATGTTAGGGTTTTGAAAATTTGTGTTTTGGGTTTGATTGATGAATTAATTGAATTTTATGGGTTGATTGTTATGGGTAATGGATTATTTGGTGGATTTTGAGAGATTGAATTGAAAGATGATGATTTTGAGTTATGATTTTGTTTGAATGGTGAAATTATGTTAGAAATAAGGAAAGAACAGTGGGTTTCTGTTGAAATTCTGGGTTGGAGGTTGAAGATGACGAAAATTCATTTTGGTCCTTCAATTTGTGGAAATTACAGTTTAGTCCCCAAACTTTGGAAAATTTACAGATTGGTCCCTGGGGCATATTCCGAGATTCTGAACAGAATAAAAGATAAATTATGGGCAGAATTCCTGTATAGTTATGAAATTTTAACACTTTCAATTTGGTCCTTCAATTTGACAAAAATTACCATTTAACCCTAAAAATTTGATAAAATTCCAGAATGGTCCCTGGAGTATAATGAGATGATCTGGACAGAAATGAGGATTGGTTATGGTCAGAATTTCAGTATATTCATGGATTTATGATAAGTTTAGTTTGGTCCTCCAAATGGATTAAGTTACAATTTGACCCTTAAAAATATAATAAATTATAGATTAGTCCCTAGCTGTAATATTAGATTTTGCAGATGGGTTAGTTAGTGAAGTATTACCAATTTTATTATTTATTTTATTATGGATTGGATTTTGAGAAAACTATTAATTTTTGGGTTTTTGGAATATAACTAATTAGTTCAAAAATATATAGGGTTATGGAATATATCCTTAAATAAGTGTATTAAATAGGTTATATATTCTTTTGAGTCATTCTTGAATATGTCTTCTTTGTATTCAGATAATCCTGATATTCTACCGGCAGGACGTCAGTAGGATTTTCTTCGGTGTTTGCTTTTGATTTCTGTTTGCTTTCGAGTCAGGTGAGTGGATAATTTTCCATATGCATGAGAAATATTATAAATATTTGATTTGTT